GCATCTGATGATCACTATGGATCTAATAATCAGCATGCATCAGAGAATCAGTATAAATCTAGAATCAGTATGTGAGCATTAATTAATGATTTCTACATTATTGACATTTTGGAACACCTTTCAGATGGAATTTAAGTTTATGATTTGTTCGTTTCTCAATAACTCTGTGGTCCACCTGTTTCAGACAGGCGGATTTTAGCTGGGGCAGGTAACGTAAATGTAAAAATTGTTTGTCCCTGTGGACAGACGAATAAAGATATCAAGTTTCACTAAGTGACCAAATGTGGTAATTCAAAGTTGTTAATATCAAGAATATTGCTTTCAGAATTTTGAAATGATAATGAGCCAATAATTAAAATTGAATTTTAAATAAAACATGTATGTCTTAATTAATCATCAAATCGGACAGGTACTTTTATTCTCCAAGCAGTATAATGGACAGGCACTTTTAAATTCAAACCCTGACTCTATTGAGGTGATTACTGGCATTACGGCATTTGATACTTAAGATCCCATCTTGTGAATATACACAGATTCACATTTCCTACGCCAATTCAAAATGGCCACCTAAATAGAGTGGTCAAGTACTATAATACGTACACCTACTAAGAACTACTTACCAACTCAGTGAACAATGTCTCTAATCTGGGAGATCCTCTATAAACCCATTCTGATCTCTGATCTACCTCAAAGAGCATATTTACCAAACTACCATCTACTTCAAGTACTTTAGCTCTCCACCTGCAGGAAAAAGAACACAATGCTGTACCAATTGAGAGCAACAAAGCAGCAGAGTTACATGTAGTATTGACAGATAACCCCAGAGATTTTTTTAAACAAGGAAACAGGGGCGCAAAGCCCTCATGCCATGGCCATGCGCCCCCTTACCCTGGGGAGCAGATCCTCTGGCAACCATAAAATTCTGATTGACCAGGGATCACATGTAGCCACAGTCTTCAACTGTGACCTGTCTGATAGTAATTTTGGCCCAAAGGAAGCCATAGAATGCTCCATTTTAACTTAGAATTCTCAAAAACTCCACACCCTGGTAGGGAAAACCCTATCTCCCCCACTTGGTGGTGCCGCTGAACTGCAGTGCTCCCTCTTGCCTTTTTTTTCTAGAAAAACTTCTGAACCCTACTGTGTATTTCTTACCATTCTCCATTCCATTCTGTTCTTATCCACTGTCCTGGTTTGACTTTCACCATTGGCCTTTCCGGGTATAGCTCCATGTACTCCTTGATAAACTCTCTGGAATCTGGATGGATGTCTTCCCATACATTGTTACCTGGAAAGCATAGTGCATTGAGTTACATACATGTTGAGGCAAAATTGTCTAGCAAAAATAACAATCTATGAAAACATTACGATGGACTATTTAAGTTCTGGTAATTTTTATATATATAGTGAACAATGAGCAAGACATTCAAATTTTCCATGATACAATGGTGCAATTCCAGGGATTGTGGACACATGCGTTGAATATTTGGCCCAGTTCGTCAAGGCTAATGTTTATATTCAGAGTTTTCTTTCAAAAACACAAAAGTTGGGATATAAGAATAAATTTGCATCTCAATAAATGTGTGAACAACAAAGTTGCATAATTGTAAATCAATGAAACTTGGACGATGTTTATCCAACAAATAGAAGAATGGGCCATCTCGTATGAGAAGAAAAGCATGCAATGATCATGATTGATTGTAAGTATCTTGATGTCATCAAACATGATGATGATGATGTGTTCAGTAACATAGTAACTAGAGACTGCAAACTTGTCTATTCGACCTACATTTTAGTACAAACACAATATGTTACTTACTTTGTTGATATACAGAATAAAGTTTGTTCAACCCCATATATTGTGCGAAACCATCGTCAAAAAAGATGAGATATCTAAACAAAGAATACACAAAAATCCAGTTGGTAAATTAAACTGACATGCCAAATCTATCTGTCATGTGATAATCTTTTCATATTAAAACGAACAATATTCAAATAATATTCTTAAAACAAGGTCTTAAAATTAGTCAGATGACATATAGATAATATAAAACCAAATGTCAATACTGTAAAACCACCAATATTCACTGGCATTTAATTTCACTATTTTGGTCTTTTAAAGCATAATAACTGGGTTCACAAATTTGACAGGGAACAACAAATTATATTGTTATTTTACATGTTCATGTGGATTTAATTTAGATGATTTTACTTATCAATAAAAAGAGAAATATTGTGAATAATTAATAAATTTACAGTAATGCACCCTACAAAGCCATGATTTGTCAAAACATTACATCACAATCCCTCTGTACAAATATACCTGTAATTATTGGCAGGTAATGGTACCTCAGCTACAATGCCAGCATACAGACATTCATCATGGGTGTCAGCTTCATTTAAGTATATACCTATAAAAACACAACAGAGTTACTATATCACATAAAACAGCAGACAACAAGAATTACGGTTGATGCCAAACATGATTACTTCAATTGCATCTTGGAAAATGCACTGGAACAAAGAATGAATATGAAAGTGTCTGCTTACCAACAATTCTACTGCCCACCCGGATGTCTGCAGCCCTTGGATGAGTAGCATAGGCAATGTGTTTACCAGACAGGAGAGATTTGCCACCATTTTTATCATATTTTATTTTATATTTCTCCTGCAAGAGACAAAGTTGATGTTACATCATATATAATAACAATCATTTAGTCTGTTTGCTGAGATAGAAATAGTTGAAATTCAAGCATTTACCAAGATGTTTGTAATTGATGTTGTTACAGTAGAACATGAACACATATAAACACACTATTGTACCCAAATATATGAGATTTATTACCTGGCCTTTTTGGTCCTTGATAACTTCAAGAAATGTTCCTTCATACCACACTTCATCACTACGTCTCCTTCCAAGTAATTTCATTCCTCCAGCTAGAGGTGGCTTACCACTGAATAATGAAAAGTACAAAATACATAAAAATGCATATGAGGATACATCTAAAATACATGTACTGGTAATTTCTAAAGGAAGAATGTTCAGCAGAGTTCAGGACCAGCTATTAAAGAAATAATATTGGATCAAGAATAGGGATATGGATTACTTACCGACTCTGTTCCTGCCTTCCAGGAGTTTGTGGCTTTTCTGGGTCACTATGATCATCACCAATAGACAAATCAATCACCTCCATTTCAGAATCTTTGTTTGTTTCCAGGGATACAACAGATTTATCATCAACTGTCTGTTTTTTAATGCCATGGTTATCAAAGCTGTGATATTTGTAAATATCCTCTTCTTTCTTTTCCTCAGCAGCACCTCCCATTTTTGTATCAATGCTGTTGCCATGACTACTGCTTACATAGTTGTATGTATAAACTGACTCATCATCAACAGTTTTCCTTTGAACAAAAACAACTGAATGGTTATTTGTGGATGATTGCTGAAGGTAAATTATAACTTGTTACACTATTTAGTTGGAAATAATTGGAGTAATTAATTACACACAACTTACACTTCTTCTAACTCTTTTTTCTGTTTATCCAAACTGCATCGGTACTGGTCCAATAATCCATCTATTTCATCAAATATACCATTAATTTCATGCTGTTTATCTGAAACCACAGAATAACTATTACAACCTTGCCTGTAGAGAATCTAGATCTAGATTGTTATGTGTTTATCACACTGATGACTATCTGACTCTGGAAGTATATACAAATTTGGTGTTTTTTGACCTGATAGGTCAAGAATGTCTTTAACCAATCAGAATACAGCATGATACCAACATCTTCTGAGCATGGACAATCACAGAGGATGTATCCAGGATGTATTATTGAAGTTGATGTATGATCCTTTGGCGTTGTACACTAGCGGTAATTCATTGTGATAGTGAAATACCAGGTAAAATGAAAAATATGCAAATATTTCACCTTCAATATCTGTGAGGTCTGACTTGATCTTGCCAACGTCTTCACAGAATTCACGTCTTCCCCGGTCCCACATAACATCATCAATGAACTTTGAAAGTTGGGTATCCGAGTCAAAGAGTTTGAATTCATATTCAGTCTCCATTTTGATCTAAACAAAGCACAAATGTTGCAGAATAATGTTGAAATCAATCCAGTAGGAGGCAGTTTATGAACTGATGTAACTACCGTATTTATCTGGGTAAGAGCCCAGGGTCTTGAACATGGAAAATTGCCAAAAAATAGGGGTGGGCCTATGCCCAGACATCCCCTAGAAAAAAAATGAAAATTCGCAAAAATTGACAACACGCAGATCGAACTGTGCCGGGGAATAGACATGCAACAGAAATAAATGAACAACATGCAACATTAGAAGTATAACAAAAATAATTTATTGCTTATAATATGTAAGTAAGTAAACCCCTTTTTCTTTGCCCCAGTTGACGCTATGCGTATACTCTTTTCATCACATATATTATTGGTTGATGTGGGTGCTGAATCGAAACATACCATAGTTTCATCCATGTTACCGATGTTGTATAGAGTGTGATCATTTTCCCGGCGAAGATGATTAACTGATGTTCTAAATGCCTGTAACACATTTTTGTAATCTTCTGGGAGTTCCTGTGAGTCATTTGTTTCTGTAATAAAATTTAACATAGGCAATTAATAAACAATTTAGTCTTAAAATTTACGCCATAAAAAATTAACGACATGGTTTTTTATAACATATAATAAAAATCTAAACTTACCCTTTCGTATACCAACACTGAATCGTTTCTTCCATCTTCTAAGCCAACCATTTGACCCTTTAAAATTCTCCACCATCAGTTGGTGTGCCCTTTCTCTAGCATAGGACTGAAGCATGGAGTTGGTGACAATGCGACCCTCTGCCAGTTCATTGCAAAGAAACACAAAGACGTCATTGTCAACCTCTTTACTAGCAGGAATACCACCACAGTGTAACTTGCGCCGTTTCTTGTCACTTCCACCGGAGTTCTGAAGCAGCTCGTTGTATTTTCTGTCCCATTCACGAAGTCGCTTTCTGTCAATATGTAGCTTGATAGAGGCAGCACGCAAACTAAGATTTTCTGATCTTATAAAATCGATAGCTGTTAGCTTTTGTTCAACGGTGTAACTGCGTCGCATAGTTTTGGAAGACATGATAACTAGATCGTGTGCTACCTAAGTATGAAATTAAATGTTGTGTAGATGGGGCTTTTTAAAAAAAACTGCTTATGACATAACCCAAGCGACCTGAAACAATGCTCCATGAGATTTTATGTTTGTCATATTTGAACAAAGGACAGTGTTTAATGGAATGGGATGTGTCCGGTGTTGTCAGATCATGTGCCCAATCCAGACTCCCTTTTCACTCATAATCTACTGCCCCAGAATTTTGTTATTTTGAATAAAAAATAATCAATAATTACTTAATAAATACTACTTTGCGTTACACCCCTTCATTTTTTTTTCACACTCAACCGACCAAGTATCTCTGCATGATAAGAAACAGTAATTTCGACAATTACAATTACAATTTTAATATGTTTTGGATTCCATCGCATATCTTGTTCGCCTTGAAATTGTAATTTAAAAAAAAAAATATACAGCCAATATTTTGTGCCTGAAATGTTCTCAAACAACTATGAACTTTCGTAATTTTTACTGTGTAAATTTGTAAATATTATTGATCTGGTATGACTGTTATCTGGTATTTGTCAAAACTAGAAATAATTTCATGCAGTTTGACCCCTAACATTATGGTTCATTCTGAGTTCAAGCATATTTGCCGTGTTTGTGGGCGAGAAAATCCTAATTCAAATGATTCCTCACTGTCGATTTTTATTATTTCTGGTTCATTTGTCACATTATAAGCAATGAATTATTATTTACTTCCAATGTTGCATAATGTTCATTTATTTCTGTTGTCCATTTTCATGAATTTCCATTTTTTGGCAATTTTCCATGTTCATGACCCTGGGCTCTTATCCGGATAAATACGGTATACCTTCCTGGTTACTGTACCGAGTAATCATGGCTAAAATGACATTTGGACAAGTTTGGGTGTTCCATAGCCCGCACTAACTTCTCTCCCATGCAAACATATGGGATTAGCTCTAATCTTAGCTCAAACTTGGTGTAGCCTCATTTATTTACAGGTGCCTCAAAAACATATCTGAGGACGAGTTGTGCGGGCACGCAAGCCATAACACTGATGTCTGCTGTTAATCTGCATGTACGTACGCAGATGCCACACAAATCAAGTCTGCGTGTACTGTCAATTCTTTTGTATGTTATTATTATGAAGTAAGCCAAGAACCCAAAAAAAAGCAATTTCGAAAACTGACATAGTTTGTATTTTTGAATGCATCAAAATAAAACAAAACAATAAGTTGTAAGCTGCTTATTTTGAACTGTCGAGCTAAAATCAATTTCCCCTGACAATGTTTAATTAAGCGATGATCCCTCATCACAGATTATGTCTACAAGTTGTAAATGTTACATTCCATTGAAGATGTGGGCCTTCATGTTGTGTAGTTATTTGTGTTGTGTGATAATTACCTACAAAGGCAATGGAATAGTCTGAATACAGTCACATATACATCAAAGGCATACCGAGTCTGATGTTTTGATAATCGGTTAAACAAGTGGGGGAAAGTGTCGGGGGATGTTGGTAGCCCTTTCGTAACTGTATACCAGGGGTGGAGGTTTGGTGTATGCAACTTTTTTGCGCCCGCTGAAAAAATCTGCTACGCCAGCAGTTCACTTGTCATTTTTATACTTCACTGCTGTTCTGACTGTTTATTTTATCCTTTTATCGAATTCAGCACCACCTCCAAAGGAAATACCGTTCACGTTCAGTCATCATCACCACGTCGTATTATTACAGAGTAATTCTGTTTATTGGGAGATAATTTAATGTCGCAACTATTGAATTTTTTAATTTTGGTTGCCAAGAAGTTTATTTACATAGCACAATGTCAACAAAAAATACCATGTTTTGAGGGATTTCAGGACTTTGTTCAGGGCATTCAGAATACTGAATTTTATATTGTGAATAAAACTGGAAAGCTTGGGAAACACATCAAAAAATGAGAAAAGTTATTTAAAGTGTTGCACTGACCTGACTACTTCAAAGTTTTTGAAATTTCTATGTAAATGTATAGCTTTGATGAATATTAATCATGTATTTTGAGCAGTACGAGAACCACAAAGAATGATGACATCACTCACACTGAATATTGGTCATGTATTTTGAGCAGTATCAGAGTTGTATTTTACTTGAAGCGACACAACAAATAAATAAAAAAAAGAGTAGTTCTGAATTGTTGTAAGATTTTTAACGAATTTTATATATCCATTTGTTGTTAATAAGTTTTAGCAAATTTGTAACATTTTATACCTTTTAAATAATCCACAGTCAATCAGAAATAGTACAGTCCAACTCAAGATTGCGTTCTTTCAACGACAATGATTAATAATGAACACCTGAATGGCACCAAGAAATGAAATGATACCGACCACAATCAAACTTGTTCTCCATCTCCTGGTATCACAAAGTGTGTACGTTAGATCACAATGTTGAAACTATAGTAAGTATACTGAACGACATCGTCCGAATCAGGTGGTTTCGCTGAACCCAGCCATTCATAACCGGCCCAAGAACAAATGTAGAGGCTTCAGCCTTATAAATGGTCCTTGGCTGGCGAAGATGACTGAACAACAGATTGAATATTGGCCCTGACAACTCTGAACCTGAACCTAGCTTCTCACTTAATTCGTTCTATCGACATCTCCAAATATTCCCCAATAAAAACCAGGTTTACTGTTAAGTTAATGGATTTTATTTATAGAACTAGTAATAAAACAAAAGAATCGATATTACATGCATAACTCGCCCTCAGATACGCTTTTGAGGTACCCGTACATACCTCGTAGCCTGAACCATGGCTGAACACATTTTCAGCCCCCAAGTGACTGTGGCTGAACTAGCTGCAGTTCTGCAGCTATGGCTGAACACGACTATTTTGACGATCGTGATATTACGTGGAGCCCTACGTACGCCGCGGATCAAAAATTCTGTCGAAGAAAACGACGCATATATACACATAACAATAAACTGTTGCAATTTGTCACATAGCGACACGTAAAATTACGATTAAATGATCGTAATTAGAGTAATCATTTGTTACCGGCAGATTCACAAAAAAAGGAGCGCAGTCCAACAACTTAGGACTGTGAACGGAGCTTGGTTTAAACTTGGGTAACTTTCGGTATTAGCCGTAACGAAGTTATCCAACCAGAATTTCATGTTTACTGACCTCTTACTTGATACACCTGTCAGCAGAAACAATGGGATGCAACATCGACCAGGCTATATTACCAACTATTGACTAGAACATAACAATAGGAGACTCGCAGGTCGCCATTTTGCAACTACAGCCAGATGCACCTCGTTCGCAGTTGTGCAGAATAATCTTCAATTAAATACATATTTAGATAAATAAGCCTGAAAACTCATACAATTATCTATTTTGCATAATATTATTTTGTATTTTGTAAATAAACTATATATATATATATTCGTGTAAAGTATCTTAGAGATAGGTACCAATAATCCGAACTATGACCTCACTTAACCCGGAGAGCGCCATCTGCGGTGACACAATGATTGGAGCATTGCAGCATAGTCTTTATGGTCTGTTGTGGCTCTGGTTACGTCTGTGATAATTTGAAAAGGAAAAATAAAATCTCAATATGCTATTCCATCTCTAATGAAAACATATAGAATTCACACAAAGTTATAACAATCATACAGTAGTGGCTGTTGAACATATTGATCAACCACCCCTGAATAATATTTTCTTTGCTTATGAAAACAAGAAATTGAAAGCATTTAATTCTGAGACATATTGCTTGATACTTTGAGATTATCCGTGTAAATTATTGAGTACTATGCGCTTCAATCTCCCCATTCTGCCGTTTGCTCAATGTGATGAGATGACATTGTATGTCACCAGAGGGGATACAGCCATTGGCGGAGTTCCATTACCGTATCACATGACAATTTCTAACACGTGATTGTGAGCCACTTTGCCTTGTGATCAATTAAGTCTTGTTTGTGTCCAGGGAGTTGGTTCTGTTTTGGTGCGTCTGTTTTACCCAAGAAATGAGGACTTTGCTCATTTGCCTCCTGTTTGTTGGCCTGGCTTGTGGCCTTCAAAGGTAAGCTTCGCACAACCTACAATAATACAAGAATTGTGTAATGTGCACCACTATAAACCATTGCATTCGTACGTCCGTGGATCATTGTGCGTACCGCGCGACGTCACCAGTGCAAGTAAGAGTTGGTATCCTGGGGAGATGGCGTAGGGAGCAGTGTTCACCATACAATTGCCACCTGACCCAGAGTATAGTTTTTAGTCAATCACTTACTTTTATAATTATTTGAAAAAAAAAATTGTTGAAAGCCAATCAAAGCTGCTAAAAATTCAGCAACCCTTATAAGCATTTCACGTGGTCCTAACAAATTCAAGTTTGGTAATGGAATGTACGCAGCACCTGTTGATTCAAAAAATAAATGTTTGTCTCTGCCGTCTTTCATTTGTCAAAGAGTGTTCAGCAGTATCAGGTTTGAGAAACTGATTTGCACACATGCTCTTGCAGTTAACACCAAAGCATAAATCAGAAGAGATAACAGTTCCTTCAATGTCTGGAAATGTTGCCTGGCATAACTAATAGACTTGGATAAATCCACTTTATAAATGTCTTCAATTGTTACACTAAAATTAGAGTCTGGTCAAACTACTATGCAACAGCTACATCAAACTTGCAATGTGGTCTTATTCATAAAATGATGCAAGTGTTCTATCAACTCAAGCGACTGTCAGAATTCACTTGAGATGCTTTGACTTCACTTGAGATGCTTTGACTTCAAGAAATAAGAGCAAATGTTATTTTCATTCTGACTACTCCAGGTAGTATGTGGGTGTCAGACAGAATATTTTTTTATTTAGTTTTTTCTATCACCTAAAGACCATTAAATCTTGGGTCGTAAAATATACCCATTAAATGTACTTCAATCCTGTTAGTGACAGGACCAGGATGTAGATTTACATATCAGTTAGAAATAATTAACCAGATGTGTTACATGTATGTAGAATATGTAAATTGAATGAATACAGGTTTATGAACTGCTATTCCATGAAGAAAAATTCAAATTAATTTTGTTTTTGTCTCAATACATGCATCGTCCTAAGATTAATGTACAGTTCATTGACCCTAGCAAGTTCAATAAATTATGGGTGTTGAATAAAATGCATATTACGTTGCATATTACTGTAAGCACAGTGAAGTGAATTGAGAATGGAATTTAGAATACATTCCCTACACTATTAAGTTTGAAATTGGGTATTATTAATTTTGGTTCAGTCTGTCCTTCTGTGCGCCATTGCTCAGACATTCTTTGACCGTTCATATTCAAATCTACATACTCAAGCCCATTCATGTTACTACAGTTTTAATCAAATATGGCGGACTGGTGGTCATTTTGGAAGTCAAAATAACAGTTTGAGATTCAAACAAAAGCAGCCAACTTTAAAATGTTTTTTTTTTTATTTTAATGGTATTCATGCTAATTTTTCTGTATAATATAATGACCACATATTTAAGTCTATATACTTCCAGTCATACTGTGTTGAATTTGGCATACAGATGATTTCTGGGGCTCTTTTGTATTTGTTAGACTACTGGTAAAAACACTGGGTCAGTGCATTGTCACTGCTTGTTTAATAGTTCAGCAGAGGTCAGTACGGTCACCAATACTACCTTCACATGTGTGCCTACTTTGCACAGATCAAGATGGTCAGCAATACTGCCTTTGTGCATACTTCATACAAGTTAATGTGGTAATCATACTGTTTTGTCCATAATTTTCATAGATCTCATCACCATATACTGCCTTTGTGCATATTCTTATGATAAACTTGTATCACTTACTACACTATACATCAGTACCAAACCGCAAAGATGGTGAATAGAATACATCAGAAATCAAATGGACAGTTCAACATGAGCAGTATGCAACATTTTGTTTTGTGATTTACTGTAGCAATAATTAGAAGCCATTATAATATTGTATCAATGAGGATCTGTTGTCAAAGGAGTGGTACACGTTTATCCACATCAAGCATGTGACTTCTTATATTTAGACTTATCGACATCAACAACCATGCTTATAATAGTCATTATCTGTGTTATACGTTTAGACACTACTTTATTTTGGCTCATTTAATTAAAAATACAAATGGTGTCATTGTCCACTGGTTGAACTGCAACAAATTTTGCTGCATTATACAGTGGCCCCTCACTAAGTCGCGAGTGTCTGGATCAAAGCAAAAGCTGACTTATCGGAGGTTGCAACTTGCAGAGGGCTCTTGTGAAAGGGGGGTTATTGATTGAAGATGGATAAAAAGCACATATATACACAAGGGTTTATTTATAGTATGTTTTATTTATTGAACAACATCAGAGTTCATGTCCTCATGGATTCAACTCATTGCAGGGAGTTTCATAGAGCTTTATCAATGGAGACCAGCCGAGAAGTACGTAAAGTAAAAACTTCATACCATCACACCGCAAGTTAGGCCGCAGTCACTCTTTGTATCTCAGTATTTGATGACCAGTAGGTGTTAAGTTGTCTCCTCTAGCTCTTTAACTGCCAATTAAATACACAATGAAACAAAACATTTAGTTCTTTTACTTCAAAAGTGCCAGAAAAACACAATAGAATTTTTGTGAGCTATCTGCCCGCAACTTGGCCAAAACCGCAATTTACTGGGGGGTGACTTAGTGAGGGGTCACTGTACCCTGTACTTGGTTCAATATTGGAAGACTGTATTTAAAAAAATTTGTTGGCAATGAATTATCATGCACGTCTCGTTCTACTGTTCATTGTGTTTTTAAGGGCAAGTGTTCCCCACCTGTAACTCTAATCCCAACCCTGCTCCCAGTGATCCTCCCACTTATAAATGCTCTTGTAAATGCATATACATTGTGTGTGTTGTGGGTGCTTTTGAGTGTTAGGGTTAGACTTCAGATTATGGAACATTTTCCCTTTTAAGGTGTTCTGACATATTACTGATACTGTAAAATAAAATCTGTTTTAAAAGCTGCGGCTTCTATTAAAATGGTACAATGCAACATATAGGATGCGGCTTCTATTAGAGCATCTACACATATGAGAAATGGTGTATTTTTGGTTCTCAATTGTTCAAAAAGAATTGGTGCGGCTTCTATTAGGGATGTGGCTTCTATTACAGGTTTTACGGTAATCATTTTTTTGATCCATAGTCCATACTTGTTCCAAATTCAGTATCAAATTAGTTATCTTCTTATTTCGTAGAATTCATCTACATAAATTCCGCAGCGTTCGTCGTCAATTGTCTGATGTAGGGGTGACCATTAAAGACCTGGCATTATCTGGTTCACTCAAGTACACTCAAGGAGCACCAATTCCTGAAGTTTTAAAGAACTATCTGGATGTAAGTAGATAATTGCTCTAATATTGTTTTTACAAAGCTTTAATGATTTTAACTTGCTTTGTCTGATCTCGTTGTCAATCTCGTTGTCAATCTCGTTGTCAATCTCGTTGTCAATCTCGTTGTCAATCTCGTTGTCAATCTCGTTGTCAATCTCGTTGTCAATCTCGTTGTCAATCTCGTTGTCAATCTCGTTGTCAATCTCGTTGT